ACTTCCCGCCGCCGACTTCTGCGCACGCTGAGCCACATCAACGCGCGCGCCGGACGCGTCCCCATCCACGATTACGAGCGGCAACTGTTGTGCCGCTCGCTCAACCACTTGCTCAGCGCCCCATTCAGGTAGAGCAGCCTGCTCAACCAGCTGTTCAGGTTGAGGGTCAACGCGGGCCGCCTTTCGGGGTTTCTCCGCCACTGATGGCTGCTCAATCCCCTTCCTCTTCGCGCGCTCAGACGGCGCGACCTCCTTCGACATCCTCTTTCCGCCACGCGAAGCTCGCGAAGCTTTGACGACCACGTCGTCCACTGACATCATGCTGACTAGGCTGGAGAAGTCAACACATGCGCCAATAAATCGTAAGAGAGCGGTTAATATGATAGAATGCATAAGGAAAGAGACGCCAGCTCCGCCAAACAACTTCGCGGACCCCGGCCGAATAAAGGTTAAACTTCTGATTCAGGCACGCTTCATATTCGGCGTCGAGCCTGTTGTATTTTCCCAGGTCACGCTCGTAGCCATGCGTGCTACCCTTCTTCCAATCTGTGGGCTCCTCCATATACTCACTCGCCCACTCTCCCGGAGTCGGCTTCACGTAGAAGAAGCGCTCGAACCAAGTCTTCTTCAACTTGGGCGACCCGTACACAAAGCCGTCAGGCCTCTTGTCGCGCCGCCTGATGGAGAGACAGTCGCTCCTTCTCGTGGGCTCCTTGATCTTGTACATCTTACGAAATAGTCCGTAAGACGGTTGAATGTTAAGCCTCTTACACGCAAGGCGGAGACAGCTTGCGTGCATAATGATCGAGGGAGAGAGGCACCCAACCGAGCATTTGAGCCGCCTATATAGCGCGCACAACAGAGGCTCAATGGGGACCTTGAACCCCATCACCCAGTACTCGGTATACACCCCGAACCATCCTGGGGGGCAATTACAAACAGTACTCCGCGTAGAGGAATCGCGTACTCCCAATTGGGGGGCAATCCCAACCCGCGCACGATGTCCGTCACTTCCCTCCGCCCATAGATTGAAGCGTGATCGGGACCCCTTAGGAGAGTGTCTTGTGGCGCTGGCTGATCACCCCACATCTCCGCCCAATCAATTATTTTGTACTCCGCACCCACACCGCGGAACCCTAGGCGGCTAATCGCCTCGGACATGCGCGCGATGAAGCGCGGCTCTGATTGCGCACCAGACCCGTCTTGCGCTTCACGATCCGCATCCCTAGACCCACCCGCACGGTCGCGGCGGACTATTAACACACCACGAGCACCGGTGCCGGACGGCCCACTCCCAGACACCATCGCATCCGCATCGGACGAACCACGGTAATCCTGGTCCGAATCGACGTCGTAAGACGGTGTCGCCGGAACCCCATCGCCGCCAGCACCGCCGCCGCCCCCGTGGCCGGAGTCATCAAGATCCAACGAAGGATCAGTAGAAACACGGGAAGGAGAGGAGAGATTACCTTCTTCGCCTTGCACGACCTCGATCTCGTCGACGTTGATGTTAGCCATCGCAGATCCTTGAGTTTGACAACAACAAGTTGAGAAAAGAGCTTGTAGAAGAAGGAGAGGAATCTCGAACACACCCAATATAGAGAGAATAAGAAACGGAGTTCAACGAGGCAAAGTGGGTTTCAACCCCCCCTGATGGCCAACTATTTATATCTGAGAGAAGGAAACCGAACGGTTGAAGTTGCGTCGAAAAACGCAACCGTCAGAACTTTTTCAAATTTCAAAACGACCGCCACAACGGACCACCCATACAAGGACACGTGGACACCTAGCATAGGCATAGGCACTAGCCGATGACGTCACAAGCTCCACGCATCGCCTGGAGGGCATGGCACACGCACGGGGAGAAAAAACACACTCTAAAAGCCCAAGCTAAGCAGAAGGCGTCGCGCACAGTCAAAGCAATCACGCGCAATCGTCAAAACCACCAGCCCCAAAAATCGCGAAGATCAAGTAAAAATCGCGAAGATCAAGTAAACCCGATCCCGCTGATGGGGGGCAATTGTTGGGTATGTGACTCGGATCCCGCTGCGCCAGAGAAACACTGAGAGCGCCCAAGTAAAGGAGCGCGACCAGGAAAACACACCGGCAAACGCATTCACCAAGAGCGCCACGCACCTCAGCACCGACGCGACCAAAGAGGCTGAACACCGAACGACGACGTCCAAGCGCGCCGCTGACCAAGCCAGCAAGTGTGGAAAACGATGCCGCGTCTCGTTTATCGAGTGGTCACATCACACCCCTAGTCCTTGGTATAATAAAAGGCTAGATGCACTTGTCCTAGGTAAGGAGTATGGTCTAGTCTTCTGACATGTCAGTGGTCATGTCACCATGTCCCTCACCCACCACCATGTAGCTTATAAATAGAACATTTACTGCCGTGGGTGAGGGGATCGGATTTTTCTGGCTCTATCTCTAAAATTATCAACTTCTCTCTCTAAAGATTTTCCCTCTCAACTCTAATCGTAATTTCTTCAGTTCTTCCATCGACAGCTACTCTCCCATTGCTTGCTCTCCTTGACCAATCTTCCCGAGTCTCACTCCTACATTCAGTTAGGCTCAAACAGATATATATTAGAAATAACTTTATGTTCATAAGTTTTAGCTAATCCAATTGTAATTTAAATTAATCTTATTCCATAAATTTTACGTAATCCAATTAAATTTATATGCCTCTTATAGAACGGTGTTACATAAATATTTTTTAATGTGTGGTTTAATTATAAAATTAATTTTCAGAAAGTTTCACGTTTGATTAAGCTATTTTGTAAAAGTTAATTCACGTTGGAAAACATTAATATTTTCTTAATAATGAAGGAATTTTAGTTAATAATAAAGGAATTAAGTCATAGAGAGTATGATATTGAATTAAACTGTTATGTATAAAATAATTTAACTTACCAATTTTTCTTAATATAAATTGATGAGATGGACGACTATTTAGTTACTAATAAAGGATTTTTCACTCAAAGTAATACTCTTAAAGACATACTAATTATGTTTGTTTAACTGGGACATAATAAATAAAGAAACATTCATGAGTTTTTTTAATGTATGTATCATTTGCATAATTGCTCGTGTTGGTTAATTGTATGTAATATGTGGTCAAATAATAAAATCAAGTAATTGAACGTATCACATCTTTTTTTAAACGGTTATGTATAAGGTAACCAACCATATAAAATCTTTGTGTAACGCAATTGATGACATGATAAATATTTTAGTTAATAATAAAGAGATTAAATTATGAAAAATATTATTTTTAATTGAACTGTTATATAAAACATTTACCTTACAGAAACTTTGTTTAATGCGATTTGATGAGATGGTCCACAATTTAGAAATAAGAATGAAATGTTTATTCGAAACTTATATTAACATGATTTTAATGTTGGCAAAAGATAAACAGATAATAACCTTGCAAAACCTTTATGTAATGAAATTCATAAAATGGTCAACAATTTACTCAATAATAAATAAAATTTTGTTTAAAATTATATTACAGAAGACATATGTAAAATTTTGCTTAATTGATACATAGAAATTTATTTCCTAAAAAATTAATAAATAAAAAATAACTATTCCTTGATAAGCTTTATGTAGTGTATTCATCAATACAAAAGACTTACCTAATAAGCTTGTTTAATTTATAGATCAGAAATAATTATTACTTTATATATTTTACATAATGTGTTTGCAATTTTAATAACTATCATAGAACGACCTTATGTAAATCTTCTATAATGTATGATCTAATTATAAAATCAAGTTGCAAAAAAGTATCACTTCTTATTAAAAAATTATGTAAAAGTTAAATAACTTTAGGAAATCTTTGTGTAATGCAAATTTATATGATGATAAATATATTTGTTAATAATAAAGGAGTTTTAGTTAATACCAAAAGAACTAAGTTACTTAAAGCATCACATTTTATTAAACTATTATGTAAAAAATAATTGACTTTGTAGAAACTTTATGTAAAACACATTGATGAGATGGTAAATAATTTATTTAATAATAAATAAATTTTTTTATAGAGGGTAATAAATGCATATAAATTTTTGATACCAGAGGTCATTTGCTCGAGCTTCGTTTTCATTTTGTTCCTACCTCCGATCCTGCTTTGATGATATGGATTTTGTATGACGCTCAGCGAATCTCTGAATTCTGTCTAATTTTGAATGAAGGTTAGGATGCTTTGCATCCATTTATAAAATAAAAAAATTTGGTTCCTTAAACCTTATATTACGATGGATTTACATAATAAGTTTGTTTAATTGATACATAAGAAATATCTATCATTCTATAAAGGGTAATATCTATTTTTTATACAAACATTTTTCTGATTCTTTTATATTATCCAAACCTATCGAAATACTAAGAATTAGTCAAATGTTAACTTTCAGTTAGCAATTTTGTTATTAATATTGACTTGGCAACATGATACTGACTTGGAAGAGACACATGAAGGTCAACATTTTAAAATTTTGGCTAAATTGCAAGTTTGGTCACTCGAATTGCTACAAAATTTTATTTTTGGTCACTCGAATTCGTTTATTCCATTCGTAGTCACTTAAATTAGTTGAACAGTCCAAGTTTGGTCACTCTCCGTTAACCTCCGTCAGATTCCGTTAGTGTCGTCAGTTAACTGCTGACGTGGCTAACAGAGATGTCTAGTCACCCAATTTTAACCCAAGAAAAAAAACAGAAATTGATCCGCCACGTCAGAAAAACATGCCACCTCATATAAACACAACCCAATCCACCCAACCTAAAAAAACCATTAACCCACCCAAAAATCGAACCCGTGACCCATCCACCCTTCTTCTTCTGCCTCTATACCCTACATCTGCCGCTGCCGGACAAGAGTCGACTGGGGGTCTCTGAATCTGATACAAAATTATGTACCAAAAAGAGAAATTAAGCAGACACACTTGTGGAAATCTGCTATTAAATTAGTTCCTGTAACTATTGGCCGGCAAAAATTAAAGGGACTTTAATTGGGACTCTGTTTCCGATGACTGGCTCCGGGGAGCTCCAAGGCTCACGTGATTGGACAAGATGAAGCGGTCAACCAAGTCGGGCAAGCAATTCGTCGTGCCCAAGCCGGTGCCAGAAACGCGAACCGACCCCTCGCAAGCTTCCTCTTCGACGGTGCTTCCGGCATCGGGAAAACAAAGCTCGCCCAAGCCATAGCCATCGAAATCTACAGATCCAAACAGTTCCTAGTTTGTGTCGACATGGGCGGGATAATGGTGAAGAAACAATCAATGAGCAGAGGATGCAGATTCTTTAATCGGTGATCTGGGCTCCTCTTTCGACTCCACCATATCTCTAGCATCTGATCCGCCAGTCAACGGTGGCTTCGAATATGACAAAATGTTGTTATTGTCGGCCTTCGCTGATTCCGGGAACTGATCCGGAGGGGGCATCGTTGCCGCAGCCGCGTGATAAGAAGTCGCATGCGGCACCACCATTTTCAGCTACCGCAACTCGACTCTTGTCCAGCATGGAAATCCCCCGGTGACGGCAGATGTAGGGTATAGAGGAAGAAGAAGAAGGGTGGATGGGTCACGGGTTCGATTTCTGGGTGGGTTAATGGTTTTTTTTAGGTTGGGTGGGTTGGGTTTTGTTTATATGATGTGGCATGTTTTTCTGACGTGGCGGATCAATTTCTGTTTTTTCTGGGGTTAAAATTTGGTGACTAGACATCTCTGTTAGCCACGTCAGCAGTTATCTAACGACACTAATGGAGTTTGACGAAGGTTAACGGAGAGTGACCGAACTTGGACTGTTCAACTAATTTAAGTGACTACGAATGGAATAAACGAATTCGAGTGACCAAACATGAAATTTTGTAGCAATTTGAATGACCAAACTTGCAATTTAGCCTAAAATTTTAGTATTTTAACAATTAAAAGAGTTACAAAATTATTAACTATAATTTAAATTTGGTTGAACCATTTTATACCGTTAAAATTGCCTACCGGTTTGGGCTCCTATAGGTGTTTTTCAGTCAGACCACTGATACGATATAATTTTATAAATATTGCTATAAATTTTACATAGTGTATTAATCATAGTGTCTTCATCAGTACGATTCAATAACGCTAGGGAGGGTAAGGTATTGGAATTATGAGAGAGGACTGTAAAATCTTAATGGAGTTATATCGAAAAAGTTAGTGGTATGATATTTTGTGTTGAAACCATAATTTAACTTTAGTTTAACCATTTTATACAGTAAGAAATGTCTACCGGTTTGCGCTACTCTAGGTGTTGTTAAGGTAAGTCCACTGATAGTATATAATTTTATAAATATTAATCAGTACAATTCAATAGCGCTAGAGAGGCTCTGTAACGCCCGATAATTTAGATTTAGGTTCGACCTAGGTTCGACCTTAATACGTGATTGGTTGGATTGACGGTTACGTACTAAGAGTTACAATCGCAGATTAAGAATATATCATTAATTAAATAAAAAAATATCTATAGAGCTGACCTGGGGCCGAGCGACCCCTTCCCCAAACCCTCGGCGCCCTCTCAATTTTCCCCCCCAAACCCCCGCGTCCCAAATTTGGCCAGCAGCAGCCGACTTCACCAAAACCACAACACCAAATTCCCCTCCCCAAAATAATTCCCCCGGCCAGTAAATCCCTAGAGCCCCCAACCGCCGCCAATTAATCCCCTAACCCAGCAGCAAATAAACCCCGCCAGCAATCCCTCGTTGCATCCCTGCTGCTCATCGCGGGCGCGGACGAGAGGAAAAGAAGGAGGAAGCCGCCAGCCGATCCCAATCGCGACCCCAATTCCGATCTCACCACTTTCGTATTTCTAGCGGTGACGTTAAGGGTTCGATCAACAAGGAGATCAACGTCACGGGTCATCCAACCTAGGCCTAGGCATGTTCTAGAGGTAAGGGAACTCGATCCATTTGAGTTAGATCGATTGATTTGGTGATTTTTTGTGAGGGTAGAATTCTGGGGTTTTAGCAACAGGCTTTACGTGACAGATTTTGAACTAATTTAAAAGATTTGGTACCGAGTACTAAAACTGAAAGTGCGTCTTTCACAGAAAACAACCAACTAGTGGTCCATGCTTAAAGAAAATACTCCTTCTCCACGGTCTCCCCGTTTCTTCTCAAGATCACATTAATGTGCTTGCTCGTCCCCTCCATCGTCACCACGATCTCCTTCTATCCCTCGCATGGCAAAAACCCTCGGATGTCCTCCTGTTGGAGGTCCCTGGTCTCTGTCCGATCGGTGCGGTCGAAGCGCCCAGTGCGTCCTCCCTGGCTCTGGAAAGAGCGGTTTGGCTGGCCGCCAAACTGTGGTCCTGTGTGAGTCCTCGCTCCACCACCCCGGACAGACAGCTCGGACCGAGCCATCCCCTGTCCGCCTCTCCAGGGGCATTCTCTAGCGAAATTCCCAGGCTCGTTACAGTTATAGCAGACCTTGGGGGGCTGCCTACTCTACCCTGACTGATCCCGCCCACATTGGTTGCAGAGACCTCTGGTGCTGAAAGTTTGTCTAGGCCGGACCGAGCTGGTTTGACTGTGAGTACCCCCAAAGCTAACGGTACCGCCCGGCCTCCTTCTATATTGACTGGGCTGGCCGGACCACTCTGGCATGCTACTTGCCTTTCTCTTGCTTCTCTCTCGCTGTATCCCTTCTTCATGCACAGCTGTGTCCGCCCTCTCTATCCAAAGAGCCGCCTGATAAATCTCCTCCCGATTGGTCCATGCCAGCATGCTCAACTGCTTCTTAAGGGCAGGCTTCAGACTCTCCAAATAGTGTGCACGTTGAAATGCTGCATCCTGGAACTGGGGTCCCCCACATGGCAGCAGCTTCTCGAACCTGGAGGTGTACTCTGCAACACCCTCCTCTCCTTCATTGCCCCATCCTTGCTTGATCAGCAAAAATTCTATCTTTTGGCTCAGTCGATAAGGCCTCTGGTACATAGTGTTCCCGGAACACCCGCACCAACTCTGGCCAAGTGATAGCTGGTGGGTCTTCCTGACTAGCTGGAAGGGTGCACCACCAATTGTATGCTAACTCCTGGAATAGGGATACCGTCAATAGCACCCTATCCTCATCATCCACCCTCATTTAAGTCAATGTGCGCGAGACCTTCGCCAGCCATTTTTCTACTTCACTAGCATCCTTCGAGCGGTCCCCATCAAAATCAACCACTCCTCGCCTCCGGAAAGCCTCATAATTCAGGGGTTGCCTAACCACCGCGTGGTTAACATTGGCGTTACTTGCTCTACAAGTAAGTAGTACTCTTATTAGAACCACATTAATGTCTTATCATGCTTGAGTATACTAGGGACTCTATAAACCTTTTCAAATCGGTTGGCCAACCATTTTTCTTGAAAGTTCCCCTTTTTTCCTTTAAAACTAAACCTTTGAAAACCCAGATCGTCACTCCAGTATTCCTTGGAGGCCAAGAAACAGAGGAATGCCGGCTCTGATACCAAAATGACATGACCCGATCCTTTTTGAAAACCAACCCACAACTCAAACCACAAACCGGTTACTCTGAAGCAACCCAAAACGATTTACAAGTCAAAACCAAAAATCAACAACCACAATGTTTAAGATTTTCAAGTGAAATGCCCTAAACACTTGGGCTACCTCAATCCAGAGCAACAAAACATAAAACACAATCCTTGAGTTTCCCAGTATACTCATTAAGACATGAAACTAAAGACAAATATATGGGAGGCCCCATCTCGTTACCCAGATCCAGTTGTCATCTTCAGGTTTGCCGCGGCTGCTCTCCTCGATTAACCTCCTCTTGATGGACGCGTTCTCTTCCCCTCTCTGCACCTGGTGAGTGAGAAGGGGTCAGTCTCGTCATTACTTCCTAAGGTCTTTGCCCTAGTCAAACTCTTTACAAAACACATTATTAGGGGAAAGCCTTCCTAGCATGAAAGCCGTTCTCGCTTTCTGCTCTTAAATAACCATTCTTATCAACTCATTTCAACATTAACTCATAAAAGTTCTCGACTTCTTTCCTTATCTCAAACACAAAACACTAGGACCACCGCGTTAAGTCTCGCCGTCCGGTGTCCTACTCTAGTATGTCAACCACATTACGTCCCGCCGTCCGGTTGCATACCCAAACTCGGCAAATGGCACTGCGTTACGTCTCCTGTCCAGTCCATGCCCGTCAACTACTACGTTATGTCTCACCGTCTAGTAGTGACCCCAACATACTCGATCAACTGCTGCGTTACGTCTCGCCGTCCAGCAGGGACCCGACCATCTACCACGTCCAGTAGTGGCCCAACCGCCCGGGGGTTCCTCTTACCATTAACCAACTATTACAATCATACATCCATACATTCATACATAGCACAACGCGTGCCTCCACCCTTACAGGCGGTGGGATGCCTCACACACATACCGCGCATTACTAAAAAATTAACTAATTAAATAACGTGAACGAAAAGCGGAAACTAAAAGATCTACGACAGAGATTTTACCCCCTTTACACTCACCTCGAAAAGATGACTCCTCAATTCCTTCTTCGAAGAAACCCCTCCTTAGCCGGATTATCTTGGGGAAACCTATTAATAAGAAATTCACACTCTAAGACAACCTTTCTCGATTTAAAAGCCTCCTTTTTATCTACCAAAACACCCTCTACTCAAAGTCCCATCCTCAAACCTCACTCCAAAGGTCCTTTAACCCCCCTTTAAAATTTTCTAGAATTAATCCCTAAAAAAATGACCACTTTTCTTAATTATTTTTATCTTGGACGAATTTTTCACCTAACTAGAACCTTCTTAAAAATTTGGATAATAATTTTCTCAAGTCAATCATGAGCCCCTATACCCTGGAAAATTATGAAACCCTTAAAAACCCCTCGGAAATATTTTTATTTAATTAAAAAATAATATTCTAAAAATTTCTAAAAATAGGAATACATCTTCAAAATTCCCAAATTAAATTACAATCATCTCCTAGACGTCACTCAATTTATAAAATTGTTAGATCAAGAAAACAAACTTTATAGAGACTCGAAACAAATTAAAACATCTAAAAATATGTTTCTCGAAATTCCCAGCAGCTTTAGTGACCACTCAAAATCTGTCACCAAAAGCCTGAAAAGCCTAATGCTAAAACCCCAAAATTCTACCCTCACGAAAAGCCTAATGCTAGAACGTGCCTAGGCCTAGGTTGGATGACCGGTGACGTTGATCTCCTTGTTGATCGAACCCTTAACGTCACCGCTAGAAACGTGAAAGTGGTGAGATCGGAATCGGGGTCGGGATTGGGATCGGCTGCCGGCTTCCTCCTTCTTTTCCTCTCGTCCGCGCCCGCAATGAGCAGCAGGAACGTGACGAGGGATTGTTGGCGGGGTTTATTTGCTTATGGGTTAGGGGATTAATTGGCGGCCATTGGGGGCTCTGGGGATTTACTGGCGGGGGGAATTATTTTGGGGAGGGGAATTTGGTGTTGTTATTTTGGTGAAGTCGGCTGCTGCTGGCCAAATTTGGGGCGCGGGGGTTTTGGGGGGGGGGGGGGAATTGAGAGGGGGCCGAGGGTTTTGGGAAGGAGCCGCTCAGCCCCAGGTCGGCTCTATAGATATTTATTTTATTTATTTTAATTAATGATATAATAATATAATAATAATAATCATTATTATTATAATATTATTATTCTAAATCCGCGATGTTACTCTTAGTACGTAACCGTCAATCCAACCGATCACGTATTAAGGTCGAACCTAAATCTAAATTATCGGGGTGTTACAGGCTCAGCTATTGAGAATTATGAGAGATGGGAATTCGTCAATTTGACCTTTGTAACTTTGTTTGGGTGATCCATACGGTGACATTGATTGTTATAATGATTAAAGATGATAAAAAAAGGCTACAAGATGAAGAAAAGGGGATTCTGGTTTTCTCCGTCGGTTTCACTGGTTGCGGCCGCACCTAATTTTAGCACTAATGAACAGTGACCAAGGGAGACAATTCCGTGAGGAATAGTATTAGCTCTGGGGTTTCAGCAGAGCCAAAATGATCCCTCACTCTTTTTATAGTCTACTTCGACGGGTCGTATTGTGCTACTTATCTATGTCGATGACATGATCATTACAGGTGATGATGTGCTTGGCATCCAGCGGTTGAAGAAAGGTCTTCATGCATCATTCACATTGAAGGAGTTGGGGTCTTTATCCTATTTTCTTGGCTTGGAAATCACTCGATTTCCCCGTGGGATTCTCCTAAGTCAACGGAAATATATTACTGACCTTTTATCTTCCACTCAATTTGTCGATTGCATTCCAGTTTCTACTCCCATGGAAGTCAATCTCCATCTTGGTCGTGAGTCTGGTGTACCCCTGCTTAATCCGTCGCAGTATCATCATATTGTTGGAAGTTTGATATATCTGACACACACTCGCCGAGACATTTCCTTTGCAGTTCATGTGGTGAGTCAGTTTATGTATGATCCGCCAGTTGATCATCTTGCAGCTGTGCATAGGATACTTCGCTACTTGCAGGGTTCTCGTGAGGTCGGGATATTTTTTCCGTCTGCTGTTGATTGTACTTTGCAAGCATACTCGATTCTCACTATGCAGGCTATTTTGATTCTCGTCATTCGACTATCGGATGGTGTGTTCAGTTTGGTGGTACTTTTGTGAACTGGCGGTGTCGTAAGCAGGATAAGGTCTCCAAGTCTTCTACCGAGGCGGAATACAGAGCAATGTCAGATGTTGCTTCTGAGCTAGTATGGATGCAGCGCTTACTTTCTGACTTGGGGATTTCTTGTCTGTCTCCTATTACTCTTCACGTAAACAACACAAGTGCGATTCAGATTGCCGTTAACCCGGTATTGCATGATCGCACGAAACATATTGAGATTCACGTTCATTATATACGAGACTTGGTAGCGAACGGTTTCATTGTGGTTCGACATGTTCCCTCCACGGACCAGTTGGCCGATTTGTTCACTAAGCCTTTCCATCGTTCTCGCCATTGTTATCTTACTGACAAATTGATGCTTCGGGATCAGCATCAATTTGGGAGAGGCTGTTAGCGGATTAGGCCCATGCTATTGTATATAGTCCATTGTATATAGCCCATTAGGTAGGTTTGGATGTTTAACGAGTTGTAGCCTTGAGTCTAGCCCTAGCAGGAGTCATGGAGAGCTAGGGCTGGCAACATCTTTATATAGGGCAGCTCTCATGTTATAAACAGTCAAGCAAAGCATAATAAGATTCAAGCTTGGAGAGTTCTAGCTCTCCCGTGGACTAGTCCCGGTATCGGGGAAACCACGTAAATCGTGTCTTGTGCTTTCTTCTTTGTTTTCGTATAAGTCTCTCGATAAGAGTGTTGGGAGAGGTTCAATCGTGGATCATATACCACAACACAAACACGCCCCCTCAAACGAACGCCACTCACAAGGGCTTGAAGTTTGCACATGTCTGAAGACAAGAATACCATGTGCTTAATAAATGGGGGTCATCGGGAATCGAACATAAGACCTCTCGGTCACAGAAGGCTCTGATACCATGTTAGTATCAAAACACTCTTATCGAAAGACTTATACGAAAATAAAGAAGAAAGCACAAGACACGATTTACGTGGTTTCTCCGATATCAGGACTAGTCCACGGGAGAGCTAGAACTCTCCGAGCTTGAATCTTATTATGCTTTGCTTGACTGTTTACAATGTGAGAGCTGCCCTATATAAAGATGCCGCCAGCCCTAGCTCTCCAAGACTCCTGCTAGGGCTAGACTCACGACCACAACTCCTCAAACATCCAAACCTACCTAATGGCTATATACAATGGACTATATACAATAGCATGGGCCTAATCCGCTAACACAATTATACTTCTGCTATTAATTAATGAATGAATTCTAAATTTTTTTTGTATTTGTACTTCTGCATGAGAACTGGGTACGTATTTGCTGTTAGCACATCCTAATCCAGTTAGCTAGTGTTGTCTGAACTCACCAATAATGATGGCAAAAAGTTTCGCCTTTTCAAAGAAAGAGCTAAAAAACAAATGTTTGTTTTAGTCTTGAATTGGATTTCTCTTCTTAACGACGTATCGACCGTTGCTTCCCAAGTACTGTTTGTATTTCCCAAACCGCATTCTGCTATACTACTTACATTGCAAGAGAAGAATTAATGATGATTTAAGCATTCAGAGAAGTGGAACATTTTGGCCTACGGTTAGAATGTCATTATCCTTCTTAAATAATTGAAACACATAGCTGCGTGGCTAAACACTGTGCTTATTCGTTAATCTAATCTAGTCTCACCAGTCACATCATATAACACACTTTGTGAAACGAATTGATTAAAAAATCATTCTGCAACTACACCAACTACTACACAAATCAAGCGCACAGATCGACTCTTCATAGTACATGATAGGTAGAACCTATTGAAATGAGCTAAATTCGTAATGCCCCCAGATACGTAAGCCATGACTGTGGTGACAATGGGTCTTTGGGGACGTACTCGGAGGCATGGGATAATGACGAATGACAACAAAATTAGAGAGCTCACACACCATATCCGATAAATCCAACATAGTTAGCCATTTGCATTTTAGACCGAAGTTAGGGAGAGGAAGTTAGTACCTCTTTTCATCTATCGATCTTTAGTTTAGAAATCACCAACTGCCCACCTGCTAAGTAACATGTTGACTAGATAACAATCGAGCTAAGTATCCTAGGATACTGTGAACCTTGGAATACGACTGATCCACTTTACTACATCCTTAGAGTGGTTATACTTGGCCTAGTTAGGAGTGTCTAGTAAGTGTCCATCTACTTATATATTTAAAGCTCGATCACAGCTATGATCATAAGTCACCAAGAGAACACATCAATCAATTTTATGAGTTGACGGATGGTCTAAAGATGAATGGAGAGCCTCAAGAAGCACTTATATTGAGACTTGTCACCTACTCTCTAAGTGGTAAGGCACAAAGTTGGCTCAACAACCGACCTCCTCTCTCAAAATTTTGTTGGGACGACTCGGTGACAATGTTCATGGAAAGATCTTCTCGATTTCCAAGATGGCAGAATTTCGAAGAAATATCACTCACTTCACTTAAGAGCAAGATGAAACAGTAAGGGATGCTTGGGAGCGATAGACCTAGCTCTTCCTTCAATGTCCTCGCCATGGTTTTGATGAATATTTCAAGATAGGAACATTATATAATGGTCTCTTCCAAGAGGACCATATGCTCATCGATTCCTTGTCTGTAGGGAACTTGCTTAACAAGACAATCTCACAAATTATGGAGTTATTCGAAGAAATGACGAAAAAGGTGTATGATTGGGGCATGAAAATGAGAGAAACACGGACTCGCAAGAAAGGTGTGCATGCAACCGTGGCAAGCCCTTAACTTGAAGCAAATATTGATAGGTTGATTAAGGTGTTATTCAAGGATATAAGTCAAGGGAAGATCTAAGTGATCACATATGTTCCTCACATTTGGTGAGCATGTGTTTGTGCTTGTGCATTTCTTCCAAGTAAAGCTCTCTCTCACTCAAAACTGGTCCAATCTCCAGTCCGACTTTTCACTCGCCAATGGTTCGGTAATTTCGTTTCTCCATATTCTTGCTCCATTGGGGAAAATGGTATGCCTAACTATTTCGGGAAGGGGGGGGGGGGGGGGGTTGAATGTGTATAGGAATGCATGGTGAGTGAATGCAAATGAGATGAATGACCTATCTCCAGAATGCTTTGAAGCCTTGTACTTGCACAAAATTCTACAATTTGAGGTCTCCAAGAACTTGGATGAATGATTGATTGTTGGCCTACAATGTTAGTATGGAACCTAGGTGATATGCTCAAAATTTTAAAATTTGAGGACTTTTTAACACAGTGTCCCATGCATGATTCATACTCAATGTGCTTTGAAAGTTTAATGTTGTCATGATGTGCATTTTAGGGAGTAGTGTGGCGCTATGGAGGTTATTGATGCATGACGTGTTTTACTTTCTTTTCCACTTGGTTCTATTTATACTGTTTGCTATCGAGGTTATGACATATGTGTGGCTCTTCTCAATTTGGACTCCCAAAATTTTTGCAAAAAGGTGCTCCATTTAAAAAAAATGTTTTAAAAATGATTATTCTCACATGAGAGAAAACAAGTCTTAGTGTTTAAATAATAATTCATATATATTTATTGGATATTTTTATAAATTATTATCAATTTCTTCTCACATCCGTAAAAGTTGTATTTTTATGGCTTAGAGAGGCAGAATTCTCTCAAACTCTCCCAAGTTTCATTTTCTCACATAAGTTTAAAATAAATAAAAAAATTACGATGGAATGGTAAAAGGAAGAAAATACATAATACATAAATTTATTTATTCATTAATACGACTTGTGTTTGCTAGTGCATAAGAAAAAAAAATACCAGTTTCATTACAAACTTTTTAACGCGGGCTTCTTGTAGGTCTTAGAGACGAAGGCATGACACTAGAAATCACCTACCATTACTATTCCCACAGTACAGTTCGTTCAATTGAACTCCAAGGATTAAGGATGTTCAATTGTCAGTATATATATGCATGAGACACGATTACATTTTGATGATAGTGTCCTCCAATATCGTATAGGAAGAGAAATCAAAGGGGGAATATATTAATTAGTATTGCAATTTGCAAGTCAAAACCTAACTAGAGTAGTGTCATTAAGCTAGTCGGGGGTAATTAATGATGTTATTGCCGAATTAGAGATAGGAAAATGGGGCTAACGCAACCAATCGTAGGTACGAACACTATAGAAGACATTTAAACCACTTGCACCACTCTAATTTCCTTCACTTTGATGATTAAAGCTTATTAATTATCACACTAGAGCTAGCTAACTAAGTGGCTAAACTATATATAGTGGATGACTGCAAATGCGCAACCTTAATTAATTATATGTATATATTGTTTATGCAGGAAGTGGTTCGAGCACTTTACATCAATGGCAATGAATAGTCATAATTAATTAATATTCCAAAAACAGAAAGCATTCCCAAAACTTGTTGCCCTGCTGCTGCCATTAAACTTTTTTTCGTCGACTCGATATGGGAAAATTTTGTGGCCCTGGTCTGCTGCACCAGAATCGCATCAAATATTATGGGTGCAATGAGTGAAAGGTTGAATTAAGTGTTTCCAATATATCGTAGTATTATTCATCTCATTCAATGAACCATGTGTTTATCGTTCAGAATTTGGTGAAAGTAAAAATGTGACTGCAGCTAACAACAAAATGTGAATGCAATTAAGCTTCGGGGACGGGGAGGATTTCTGTCAAGAGAAATGACGCAAAGATGTGAAAAGAAAGAAAGAAAGAAAGAGGATAATCATTTATTCATCTTTATTGATAAAGCTGATGAGTGAAAGGTCTAAAAAAAATCATAAATGAAAATGGATAATCAGATTCTACTCCATTTTTGGGGAATCACGCATCGTGGGGAAGGGATTAGATCAGTTGTCGTTTTTACAATGAGATTCTGCCATGAAGCGCCCATAGTTATGTTCTATAATCTGGCCATTGCAGTATTAAGGTGCGAATTGTAGAATCATAGGGTACCTTTTAAGAACATGAATGGGATTAGATTATGATTTTATGGGCAGGAATATGTTCGCCTAAAAGAGAGGACTTGATAGACAGATAGACATGTTTTAAGAATAATATTGCACTTTAACCGGCTCTAGCGGCGACTAATGTTTGATGGGCTGCGACTCTGATTCTGGTGCCCGAAACAGACAAGTTGAGGAAGCTAACAGGTAGTTGACTGTACTGTGAGTTCAGAATGGCGGCAAATGCGCATTTTGATTGTCTGTCAAGCTATATATTGAAGCTTTTTGGTTGTTGTTGTTACATACATGCTGAATGGAATAATGGGCTACCGAACCAAAAAGAACTAAACTACTTATTTCGTTCTCTTACCGTGTGTGTGAATTGCATCAACCTACAATCTTCTTGCTGCAAGTTAAACTACTCGAGGAACTATATATCTCACTGTTTTCACTATAATTTACATATGAGTGATTGAAATTATTGTTATTCTGATTGACGCCAGAGAAATACAATTATTCATATCAGAAGGTGTGGGGGAAAGACACACCTAATTAAACCTAACTGGATAATTGGCCAGCGCATTGCGGTTGGATGCGATGTTGTAAGATGAATAAGTGTATTTTAATTTAAAGGAATATCTTCTGAGAAGAAAATGAACCTTTTAGGTTTGTTAATTTTTGAGATAACACAACATTTTAAATTGAATAGTGACATTAATTAGTTAAGAGAATTAAATGAGTAGCTTAATGGTCGACAAATATTATTTTTGGGATTGTATTTTCTAAACATTTCAATCATCTAATTAGAGTAATAGGTGACTCATGAAAACATAAGAAAGCGCGATGTTGTCCATGATAGTCTTAACTTTAGGCTAATATTGTTTGTTTTGCATAAATGTAGTCTCGTGAGTTTGTTTGGTAGAGTGGTTGTCTCGTATATTTTTTGACGTCCAAAAGTTGCTCTAGATTGAAAAAATCATGCTACAACCGGTATCTCAATTGAATGAATTATAAATAATTTACTATTTGACTATACTTAAAGAGTTAAGATTACAATAGAGCTTAAAATATATAAAAAATGTTATAACCAAAACTATTACTTCAACAATACATATGCAACCCATCAAATTGCATCTATGCCCATAAGTTTTTCCATACTGAGACCAAAGCATTGACGGCTCCTTGTGTTACTTAGATTTATTTAGGAGAACGACTTTAAGAAATAATCTTCGAAAATAGAACGAACTAAAACGATTACTCGAAAGGAAATAAATAAACGCTCTGAGGAGACTAGGAAACTCGCAAATAACGAAAGGCGATAAGAAAGCTATTTGGGTTCAATCTTCTCCATGACATTAAACGAATGAACTAGTAAATATTTATAGGCATGGAAGCCTCTACCTTCTCCTATATAGAACATGTTTCCAACTCCAATAAGGAAGCTACTAACAATAAGACATATCCTACTTGAACAAGGAAACTACTAATACCTATCCAAATCCTTCTTGAATAATAAACACAATTAACAATGCTTAATCTCCCAAATAAAATACCAACTAATTAATAAAAATAGATGAGCCCAGAATTTCCCATTTGATACGATGCCTCGTCTTGTAACAATCCTCCCTCCTTAAGCACAACCTTACCCTCAAGGTTGGTCTTCCTCGTGGATGAATTGACCTTCCTCTCCTTCCTTGCACGGCCCCACCATAATAAGAACATTAAGATTTTCACAACGGTGTCTGACACGCTAAAACACAACACCTAACAATGGCTAAGTGTAACCAATGAAAGGGACTGTAGTATAGTGGCACAAGTAATAAATATCGAATCCACAGGTCTCTAGAGTTACTATTACTCAGCTTCAGTTCATTATCTAGCAAACTAGATTAAGGATTGATTTACTAAATTACTCTACTAACTACTCTACTAATTACAAGTTGAGAACTCACTTAAGTATGATTCCCCCTAGCTCCTCAATTAGGTCCAAGTTGCAATTACTTTTGGTTGATCTACTGTTGATTAAACTGCGGAAGATCCTAAATTAGCTTGGAATCTCTTAAGCTGACCAAGCCCTATTAGACAGAATACCCGGCAGGCGACTAGCCTTCACCGGGATAGACTGCTAAGCGATTCACACAGATCTCCACTACTGGAATGAATTCCAGTACAAAGCAGTGAATTGATTGACTCTCGCACAACCAATTCACCACTATCAATCAAGGAAGCTCTCTTAACCTAATCAGATTCTATCTATCATATGTTAAAGCAAAAATCAAGAGAAGATGATCAGGCTTCAATCGACTCTATAAATCATGCCTCAATCGATTATAATCAAACAATATAGTATCCAAAACTTCATACAAGAAAGATCCTAACATATGGAACTAGGGTTCCTCAAAACCTAAGTGAAGGGAAGTTGCTCCATAGAGAAGAGAGAGACTGCAGAAATCTGATCTAGATCTTCAATCTCCATCTCCAAGCTTGATTCCAGAGCTCCAATGGCGAAGAAATCCTCCAAAATAGCTCCAAGAATGTTCCCAAGTCGCTTTCTCTCTCTAGGGTTCGTCCCTTGGGTGTTTGGGAACCAAAACCCCGCTCTCCCCTTTCCTTTGGCTGAAAATCGAGTTTAAAACAGAAATTCCCGATCACGCGGCCAGGCCACACGGCCGTGTGGCTTTCCCAGCTGCTCGTGTGAAGGCTCGGTGATTTCCACACGGCCACGACCCACACGGCCGTGTGGAATTCCAGGATGCCCGTGTGGCTTGCTCAGCCACTGTTTAATGCTTCGTTTCTCCCTTGTCGGGACTCTGAATCAGTCCCCGTTTGATCCCAGACGCTCGTAGTCTTGTCCTCTTTCTTTTCAGGACAAGCTTGCATGATTATTTGTCCATAAAGTGAGGTAGAAATCCATTCTTCTTCAGGTCATGCCGGAGTTTCTTCTCCTGAATCGTCAATTGATCTCTGATTGATTTGAAACTTGCGCCTATGCTCCACTTTATGTGCTAGGACCTGAAATGTGACAAAGGAATACAACCTAGCATAAAATAGGACAAAGACGCAATAATTCAAGCTCAAACAATCAAGAAACAAAGGGGAAAACATGTGCAAATACCGAGTTATCAGTGTCCAATGGAGAAGTGCTCTTCGCAATGGAAGCATAAAACTTGAGCTCTCCTACGCACCACTTCCTCCGGCGACATTCACCTAGTCGTTGGATTTTGAGGCGGTGCGTTTCAAGGTGGCGGGGTTGGTTCGGCCGCCGGCTCCATAGAAACCCTAGGGAAATTTTGACCGCCTACTTGATGTGTAGACAGCTCCTTACTCTTCATCTTGGCCAGTCGAATCGCCTCTCTTACCGTGGTTGGCTTGAACATGCGAATGGTGTAAGAAATTTAGGCTTTAAGTCCACCAATGAAGGATCTTACTAGAGCCTCCTCGGTCCATCCATAGCATCAGTTCCCTAGTTTTTCAAAATCCAAGAGCTAATCTCCCAAAGATCTAGTTTGCTTGATATTTGAGAGAGCTTCATGACTTGACGCACTCTCTGCTGGTCCAAACCTTGCCCAAAGTTCCTCTTTTAATAACGGCCATGTGATCGCCATGTTCGATGCTTGGTAGGTGTGATCCATCCATTGCCACCACTGGTTAGCATCACCCTCCATATGGAAAGATGCAAGGAGCACCTTGTGGTCTTCCCGGGTCTCATGAATTTTGAAAACCTGCTCCACACATGCAAACTATCCAGAAGGATCCTCGTTCCCATTAAATTTAGGAAACTCCAATTGTGGGAGTTTGGGTTTGAACAGTCCCACTCGATCTTCTTCAAACTGTGGCCCTAGTCGAACTCACCTTTTGACCGAACCCATATAGTCCGCCCTGGTTTGCTATTGCGCCGTCCCAACCGATCGGATCAGCCATACTTGTGTCAAATAATCTAGAATGATGAAAGAACATTATAGTTTTTTAACATGGTATCGTTAGTATGACACTAGTCTACAGAGAGGATCTCCCTCTCAGGTTTTTCTTATTATTTTTCGTTACCTTTTCACCAAATATACAAGGTACATATATAGGTTTCTCTAGAAACCCTACTCTACTCGGCTATGGAAAATTACATAATAGTACATGAATTACTATGAACTAACACCCTCTCTCAAAATGATGTTGGGTCATCAACATCAATTTTGAAGACAGATACTAGTGTCTACTCGATCCAACTGCTTTTGTTAGAATATCTGCAGTCTGATCTTCTATAAACAAGTAGCTAAGCTGAATCACTCCTTCTGCTACAAGCTATCTAATATAATGAACATGTACCTCTATGTGTTTTGTCCTGTCATGCAGTACTGGATTAGCTGCAATCTGTATAGCGTTTCTGTTATCTCCATAGATCCTCCTAGGTAGCTGACACACTACGCCCATCTTCTGACATTGACATGTACTCTGCCTCTGTGGATGACTTGGAAACCTTGTCCTGTTTTCGACACCTCCATGAAACAAAGGACCGCCCAATCTTGATGCACCAACCTGATGTGGATCTCCTGGTATCTAAGAAACCTGCATCTGCAAAAGCGTCTATAGTCAAATCACCATCTACCGGAAAGAACAATCTGACATCCATAGTTCGTTGCAAGTACCTCAGCAACCGATGCACTGCGTCCATATGAGTTGTGCATGGAACTCCCATAAACTGGCTTACTACTTGAGCATCATAAGCAATATCCGGTCGAGTATGTGTCAAATAGAGCAAGCTTCCTACTATGCTTCGGTAAAAAGTTTGATCTTCCAACAATACACCATGGTCTCTGCTAAGCTTAATGTTCTGCTCCATGGGAGTCAAGCATGTCCAACATTCTGTGTACTGTACGGCTTCCAACAAGTCACTAATGTACTTCCGTTGATTCAAAACCAAACTTGCTTCATTCCTTTGTATTTCTAATCCCAGGAAATAAGATGATTCACCTAGTTCTTTGAGATTGAAGGCTGCCCGCAATGATTGAGTTAACTCCTGAATGCCTTCTGTGTCACTTCCTGTTACAATCATGTCATCAACACACAAAAGGAGAACTGTGTTACCGTGGACAGTCTGACGAGTGAAAATTGAGGGATCATTCAGACTCTGCACAAATCCAGCTTGAAGTATGGTACCATGAAATTTTTTGAACCAATTATTGAAGTACCCGGAACACGTGGAACTATTTAAATGTATTAAATAAGTAAAGCTGAGATTCTTCATATTTGATACTTCTAATATAGAAATGAAAAACATAAATAAAACAAAATCTGAGTAAGAAATTTACCTTGATTTAAACATATTGTTATCTTACGATACCTCTAATCAAGGAAAATATGAATTCAACAGGTAGGATGCAATGCATATGTGAATCCACTTGGTCTAGTACGTGTCAAATTATTCTTTAAAATGATTATTTGGTTATATTTTGGGTACTTTGACTCCATATAAAATGAGGTAGCGTAAATGTAAGTTTTCATCTTTCAAATATGTTGACTTCATTATTTGTATTGCCCTCCCTTGTTTAATTAAAAAGCGATGTACCACATAATTGTCATTCTTATTGGTGGCTAAGACTGATATCACCATGATTACAATAGTTTCATTTGTATCGATATTAAATTTTAAGGTAAATACAATATATTATCCACAACTATTATGAAGCGGGGAATTATAGCCACAACTATTGAAATTCAAATTATTAACCAAACGTTAACTATCTGTTAACAATTTCGTTAGTAACACTGACTAAACTTTTATGTTTTGAAGTTATAAACTAAAAGCATTCCTACGTGGCCGTTGTCGTGGCCGATGACGTGGCCTTCTCCGTCAAAAATTCAATAACAGTAACAGACAGTTAGCCATATCTTGACCTGCAACAGTAGTTATGGGTAACGAAATTCCATCAATCAGAGGACATAAGGAGACCCCCCCCCCCCCCCAATCAGCAGTTAGAAGAGGAGAGTTTGATGCTTGATTGCAGAAGAAGATTGAGGCCAGCGTGAACTTGGCTCGCGGTCAATTGGATTGGGGGAAAGGTTTTCAAGATATGAAGCGGGTGCCCCAGTTTAGTTGATGGAGGATGAAAGGTTTTCAAAGTTCTCATATCAGAGATAGTCCTTTGTAGAAGGGGAGGGTTGGAGCTCAGTTGGGTTGATCGACGTCGGAAGGTGTCCCAACTTGGCCAGCCGCCAATCTGTCTTCGAAGGGGAAAAAGGAGTAAAGCAGCCACAGTAGGATCAAAGACTAAGGGTTTCAAAATGGTTTCGGGTATTTGGGTTAAACCAAACCTGAATCGGTAACAGCATTGTCGATTTTGGTTTTTTTGTTTCAACCTGACACAGTGATGTAGCGGTTTCGATATCTCTGAACTCGAAACCCGATAAGAACCCGTAAACCCGAAGGCGGTACTTTGGACCTCACGCTGATTTTTGTGGTTGTGTTCGATTTGGTTGTTTCTTCAACCTTCGACTTTGAGGCTTCGACAAGGGAGAGGACTAGTATGAAGCACTCATGAATCTTTCCAAGGCAAAAGAAAGCAGTGCTGCATCATCAAGTCAACCTAGCACTCTTCCAGCACATTCTGCAGCTGACTTCATTAGTAAGACTTAGAATGATGAAGGCAAGTATGGTCTATCTACTTTACCTCAGACAAATGTACTAGAGGAAGCTGTGTGGATACTTGATACAGGGGCTACAGATCATGCCATTCGTGATCCAACCTCTTTCTTAACTCTAAAAAGATCATGAATGTGCAGATTACCTTGCCTACAGGTCATTCAGTTCAAGCTACTCACATGGGAGTAGTGAAAATTTCTAAGAATTTAATCCTGGAGGATGTCTTATATGTTCCTGACTTTAGGGCCCGTTTAGTATTGTTGCTTGTTTTTGTTGTCTGTTTTGTTTTATGCAATTTAGAAAACCAAGAAAAAAAATCGTGTTTAGTTGGGTATTTATTTTCTGTTGTGAATCAGAGTTGCACAACAAGGCCCAAATATGAGAAACAACAATTTATTGCTTTGGATATGTTTCTTGAACATGTTGCACACGGGATTCCTACTGGTTGTGCACTTGATTTCATTAAACCAGACCAGTTTTCGAATCCCCATAGAAGCAAAAAAAAATTATTTTATTTTAAACACAGCCCCCCCCCCCCCCCAAACCCTTCCCTCACTCCATCTCCCAGCAGTAGGTAATTTCGACTTCTTCAAAGTATTATGTTAATCTATTCTTTCTGAATATGTTCATGAATTCGGCATGTATGTAGTGATTGCTAGATTAGTTATTTGTGAATCTGGATTGATTGCTATGTTCTTTGTTTTGTGGTTTACCTCAGCTATGGAGAAAATTGTTGAAAATGGTGATGTTGATTGTGTGGAGATTCAGAAAAATGATAATGGAGAAAATTTTGGTTTTTAGTTCTTATAGTAGTAACTACGCGTTTTTGTTTCTTGTTGTCAGCTTTCATGATTTTTCAGATTTACCAACTAAACAGGTTTGTGTTTTCTGTTTTTTTCCTGTTGTGGTTGTACGTCTGTTTACACAATACCACTGCAACCACAACAGCAACAAAATGATACTAAACGGGGCCTTAGTTACCACCTCGTGCTCATTAACACATCATGCTAATCGCCACCTCATGCAAAGTGCCACCTCTTGTTTAATGAAAATAACAATTATTTTAATTAACAACCAGGATATTTCTGCTAGCTCCTTAATTAAATGCTCAAAGCATTACACTCCATACTTTAGTCCATTGCCTACATGCTCTGACTGCAAGTCCTTACAGACACTAAACTCACCAGGGCATATACCATGGTACCTACAACATAAAAACAAGAAAAAGAATTATAGTCCATCTAATTTATCTATGCAAAAATAATAATAATTAAAATACGATTTGAACGAAAAAAATATAACCCGTTATTTTATAAGAAGGTACGTTATTTTATAGATTTTACTCATTGGCTGATACATTGTCTTATGATTTTCTTTCAAATGACAAGCAAGAGGAGTAAAGTTGTTTAGTGTTTTCTCAATTTATAGATGCGTTAAGGTAAATGTACGTTATTTATAAGAAGGTAAGGTTGAATAACATCATGCACCAATGGCTTATCTATAGAATCACTCTATCCCTTCTATTAAGGACATTTTCTACCCATACATGCACCTCTTGCGATAAAGATTTAACTAGATATACAAATCATGATTCATGTTTACATAAACACCCAACATCACATCAAAAACTTTAATATGATATCAACATTTATTCTCACACCTTTACTGATTTTAATGAGTAAAATCAACTATAAACTTAATCAACAACAAATCAAAACTCTAGTTAAAAACTCAATAGTAGACTTTGGGGTCCCAAAGACACAGCGAAAATATAACCAAAACCCTCAATGATCCAAGTGAGGCATTAAGAACTAGAGTTTAAAATTATAACCTTTAGAATGACGCAAAATGAAGAGTTGCAGGATCAAGAGCCATCCACAATAGTTGTAGCCAAATCCTCTATTGGTATCTACACAGGCTTCGATTGGATTACCTCCACCACATGGTGCTAGCCATAAACTTTCGGAGGAATGCAGAATTATAGTGTTTACGAAATTTAAGAGATGTCTAATAGAGCTATAGATGGAAATTGAATTGTTTAAATTGGCAGTCATTTCGACCCCTATTTATAGATTCATTAAATGGTGATTTATCTTGAAACATATGAGTCATCCAATTACTCGTCAAATGTGGAGATGAATCATCCCAAAATGCACTTAAATTTAACACCTCATGATAAGTCATATGAGTCATCAAAATGACTCATCTAATGTGGTGATAATTCACTGTCAAATAAATCTAAACTCAAAACTTAATGGTTAGCCATATGAATCATCAAAATGACTCATATAATATGATGATGATTCATTCTCAAAGGAATCTAAATTCAACACCTCATGTAATAATGTGAAAGATAAGGATGATTACATCATTATAATCCACCTCGCGCTTATTACCACCTCGCGCTTAGTTACCACCTTGTACTTAACTAAATTAATACTTATTGTACTTAACAACCATGATAATTCTAGCTCCTTAATTTAAATGCTCAAAGCATTAAACTCTATTCTTTAGTCCATAACTCCATATCCAATATGCTTTGACTCCAAGTCCTTGCAAAGAAAAAGTAAAACACAAGTGGAAGCCTTTCATAATCTATTATGTATGGGATGGGATTAGGTTCTAACCCTTTTATGGGTTAGCACCGTGATAACTAGCAAAAATCACTACGGATTATTATAAAATCAATACAACATCTAAGCTAAATCACTATTAATTCAAACTAGTAGTAGTTTTTCCTTTGGTTAGGACGGTACTAACTATTGTACAATTAGCACCGTAGCCGTTCCCATTATGTATCTATCTGTACGTGGGCTAATTCTGTGCGGCCTCAAATTTTTCCTTGCAGGCCATCATGAGCAGTCCGCTGAAACTTTCAGTCAAAACCGAGATAAGGAAATATATGCATCAATAGCCACCACTGCAATAGTGTCATACAGTAACAACAACAGAATCCCCCTTTTCCCACCATTTTCTTTGTGGTTTCATTGGGGATGACTGATGAGATGGGAAAAGGTGATGCCACCCAGTTCCGCAGATGAATGTGAATAAGTGGCCACAGTGGACTGGAGAGTCAAATGGATTGGAGAAGCTGTAAATTAACCAACCCACAACAGCCACCAATTTCAAGATAAGTCAAAGCAAAGAGTTTGGAGGAAAATAGACCAACACCAATATTATAAAAAGTGCTCAAAATGGATAGAAAGAAGAATGCCACTAGCCTTTAGTGGGTTGGAGAAGTGCTGGGCAGTGCAGGAGCCCCACAGTCCCACTCACCATTTCCCGGACTAGAGAGTGATAATTAGTACAGAAGTAAAGCTGTGTACTCAAGAGTCAAGACTGCAGCTTTCACGTTGTTGGTTCACACTCTGCCTCTTCCGACTTGTGTTGAAAATATCTTCTCAAAGTAGGAATGACCTTTACTAAGTTAAGATCTTGTAGAATTTGGTACAAAGCGTGCATAAAATGGACTGGAAACCCTCAAGGAGTGAGGTTCCAGCTTGTTCCTATTTATAGTCGTTATACAGTAATACCAGAGGTTTAAACTAAGCTTGCCACATGGCTTAGCCTCATTGGTTTGTTCAGTACTTTAATTTAAATAAAGCGGTAAACAACAGGTAAGTAATACGACACAGTTTAATAGAAACGTTTCTGCTTCATCTTCATTCTTCCTGCACGTTTCTTCTCTACAATTAGCCGTTGGCTACTGTTCCATTGGACGAGGATGCTGCAGCTTGATCCAAGGTCTCTGTCAGCCTCCCACAAGCTGGAGCATACCTATTTTCAATTCCCATCTTCTCAAGTAACTCTTTAATTCTGAACCTGCTCAAAGGTTTTGTAAACAAGTCTGCCAATTGGTCCACAGAATTGACATAAAACAGTTTGATCAAACATGTCTTCACCCTTTCTCTTATCACATGCACATCTATCTCAATGTGTTTGGTTCTCTCATGGAAAACCGGATTCTCTGCAAAATGTATTGCAGATTTGTTATCACAGAATATCGATATAGGCAGAGACACTTCAACACTGAGTTCTTTCAACAGATTCCTCAGCCATTGAACTTCACATCCAAGGTGTGCTAGATCCCTATACTCAGCCTCAGAAGATGATCTTGAAACAGTTGTTTGTTTCTTTGCTTTCCATGTTATCATAGAGCTTCCCAAGAAGGTACAATAACCACTTACAGACCTCCTAGAGTCAGGGCAGCTGGCCCAATCAGAATTACTATAACTAGATAGCTTGAATGTTGAGTCACTTTTGAAAAATTACCTTGTCCAGGTGATCCTTTTATATATCTCAAAATTCTATATGATGCTTGCATATGTTCTGTGTATGGTTCCTTCTGAAACTGGCTCAGCTGCTGCATTGGAAAGGTCAGGTCTGGTCTAGTGGTGGTCAAGTAATGCAAACGACCAGTTAATCTTCTATATACTTCAGGATCAGCAAGAGGTTTACCTTGCTTGGCTCTCAACTTCAACTTTTGGTCCAGGGGTGACTTGCAGCTCTTGGCATCAGAGTAGCCTGTGTCCCTTAGTAATTCAAGGCAGTACTTCCTCTGACAAACTGCAATCCCACTGCTGTCTCTATTGATTTCAAGGCCTAAGAAGTACTTCAAACTCCCCAAATCCTTAATTTTGAAGTTCCTCTTCAGGTACATTTTCACCTCTTCAACATCTTCCCTCTCACTGCCTCCCAGTATAATATCATCTACATAGACCAACAAAACTACAATTCTGCCATGAATCCACTTTGTAAATAGAGAATGATCTGAAGATGATTGAGCAAAACCATGCTTCAGCAATGAAATGGTAAGTTTGGCAAACCATTGCCTGCTTGCCTGTTTCAAGCCATAAATTGATTTCTTCAGCTTGCAAACCAGTTTCTCCTTTCCACCTGATCTTGCATCTCCAGGAGGTAATTGCATATACACCTCGTCATCTAAGTCTCCATGCAAAAATGCATTGGAGACATCCATTTGATCTAGAATCCAGTTCTTGCTAGCAGCTACTGCCAATAATGCTTTAAGTGTGTTTATCTTGGAAACTGGTGAGTAGGTGTCTAGGAAATCAATCCCATAAATCTGTGTGAAACCTTTAGCTACTAGCCTGGCTTTGAATCTTTCAATATCACCATCAGGTTTGAGTTTGATTTTATAAACCCATTTACAACCTATGGCTTTCTTTCCTGCAGGAAGTACCACAACTTCCCACGTTTGATTTGCCTCCAAGGCTTGCCTTTCTTCCTCCATAGCTCTATTTCACTTTTCTGACTTGGCTGCTTCCTCATAACTCACAGGTTCCACTTCAGCAATGAGACTCAGTGCATAATGCTTATCAACTAGTGTAAGCTGCTCATATCCTAAATAGTCAGACATAGGATATTTACTCACTACTCCCACATAGTAGTCACTTAGTTTTGCAGGTAATTTGCCTCTATTTGCTCTAACTGGTCTCCCTTCAAATTCTGCTTGTACTTCTAATGCTGGTGGTTCATCAAATTCATTTCCTGGACTGGTATCTAGTACATAATCAAAATCAGAACAAGCATAAGCAAGTTCAACATCATTACCATCAGCAGCCTGAACATCAGCAGTCTCATGAGAAGGTGCTGAAGACACTGCTGGCCCCCTGATGTTGGAGTTGTTGAAGCAGAAGGTGGGTGAAAGGGAATTGAGGATAGAGCCAAAGGTGAAATAGAAGGAGAAGGAGAATTGGATGTAGAAGGAGAGGGATCAGAAGCAGATCTAAAAGGTAGTATGGTCTCATGAAAAGAGACATTTCTGGAGAAAAAAACATGATGATCATGAAGATCAAAGAGCTTGTAGCCCTTAATACCAGAAGGAAAGCCAAGAAAAATAGCATGTCTGGCTCGAGGTTGAAACTTTGTTCTGCCATGCTGCAAAGTAGTAGAGTAGTAGAGGCAGCCAAATACCCTTAAGGTATGCAAAGAAGGAGGCTTGTTAAAAAGCATTTCATAGGGAGATTTGTTGTTAAGAAAGGGTGTGAGCAAACGATTGATAATGTATACAGCATGTAAAACACAGTCACTCCAGAATTTCAATGGAAAACCAGACTGAAATCTAAGAGCCCTTGCAACATTTAAGATATGTTGGTGCTTCCTCTCAACACGTCCATTTTGTTCAGGGGTCTCAACACAAGAAGTTTGGTGTTCAATCCCATGTAACATGTAGTAATCTGTCATATGAAACTCTGCACCCTGGTCACTACGAACTATCTTGACAGATTTATCAAACTGCTTAGCAACCAGATTGCAGAAACCTTGTAATAACCCACGAGCCTCAGATTTATGTTGCATCAAGTAAATCCACACACAACGAGTATAATCATCGAAAATTGATAGAAAATAAGCATAACCATCATATTATTTAGTGGATAAGGGGCCCCAAATATCAACATGAATCAAAGCAAAAGCCATACTGGCAGAGTGAGTTGTTACAGGAAATGGCAACCCTTTTTGTTTGGATAAATGACAGATATCACAGTGAGAGACAAGTTCACTGGTTACATGGGTGTTTTGATTCTGAAGTAAAAGCAAACGATCCCTACTAGGGTGTCCTAGACACCAATGCCATAGATGAACATCTTGAGGGTTGAAATTGTAAGTGGCAGCAGCTTGGTGAGAAGGGGAAGAAGGAGTTGGAATGGGAAGAGAGGAAGTGAGGTGGTAAAGACCATTATATTGTTTTGCCAAACCAATATGCTTCTGGGTCAGAAGGTCCTGAAGGTCACAAACATCAAAATGAAAGTGCAAGTAGATGGGTAAGTCACTGGTAAGTTTGCTTACAAAAATGAGGTTAAAAGTGAAAATGGGGACAAGAAGCACATTGTGTAAAAGAATGCCAGAAGGAAGTTTGACACTGCCTATATGGCTAACTGACACCTTGGTGTTGTTTGGTAAGTAAACAAAGACATCATGGACATCAGTGTAGTCAAGAAAATTGGACAAAGAACAAGTGATATGATCTGAAGCCCCAGTATCCAAAATCCAGATATTGGTTAATGTAAATTTTT